AGCGCTGGGCCCGGCGCTCAGGGGCAGCGCGCCGGCAGCCCGGGCCCGGCCCCGGCACTGCCCTTGGTCCTCTGTGGGCCGAAAAGCTGCGTGCGTGCCTTAGACCTGAGCTAGGGCGGAGACTTCGTGCTGCTCTGTAAGACTCCGCTTTGTAGATCTGTTCCCTTTCCCCCAAAATAAAGGGCTGTCGGGGTGGGTATTCTGTTGAAAAACAGGCTGAGAGACAGTAGTTTGAGCGAATCAGGATGTCTGCTTGCAATTTTAAGACGTTATTCCAATTTCTTAATGCTATTCAAAGAAGCAGAACTTCATGTGTTTATTCTGTCAGTGGATTACACCAAGGAATACCCTCATGCCATCTCCCTGGTTTTGAACTGACTGACGTGACAGAGTTCTTCTTCAAATACTTCTACTCACATAGAAAGGAAAACATAGTTTGTCATGCTACTTCCAGTGCTCCATTTACATCGAAAAGAAATTCCGACTTTGCTGAACTTACTTTGTTTTAACGTGCAGGTACTCTATAGACTGTATTGTTTGTTTTTACTAGTGGATACTTTTTAGTATAAAAAAAATAGGCTAGAAGAGCCAGTTTTAAATTACTGTTTGATCTTAGTTCTTAAGGGAACATCTGTGAAAATCTGTGAATTGTCTCCATTTTGAAGTAATTAATCAAATAGGACCAAGCTTCCATCTTACAGAAAATTATTGTTGTTATTAAAGATCAGAGTCCACTAGAGTGCTAAACATTTAGTGGAATAAATTTTGTTAGTCCTGAAAATGAAGTTAGAGAAGTGTTAATAGTCTAATTTCCCCTTAACAAAAAATTTCAACTTGTTCCAGAGCTGAAGGTTATCTTGCTTATTTTATGCCTTCCCTTTGATTTCAGTATCAGGCTAATTTTGTTTGTAGTAATAGTGATGGGTTTTTTGTTGTTGTCTGAAAAAACAGATTATTTTCCAATTCCTGTCTTGACCTGCAGGAATACAGTTCCTCCTAAGCGTGAACTCGCCAGTTGCTGAACGTGCTCAGCAGGGGTGTTGCCAGAGGGCTGCTGAAATGGAAGAGTAGTGCATGTGTACTACACCAGGAACAGGGTCTGCAAGACACGAAGAGCTAAAAAAAGGGAGATAAAACTGAAGTAGCTGTCTTTAAAATTTGGATGCCTGAAATATTGTTTTCAAGATACAAGCTGCATTTTAAAATGTTAAAAAAAAAAAAAAAAAAAAAAAAGGTAGAACTTTACATTATAGTTTTGCCTTCTGAGAACTGAATAAGGAATCTTAACTGAAAAATTAAACAATCGTTACATTTGGAATTATAGGACAACATGAGACACATGATAGCTATGTACATTTTATGTTGGACATTTTAACAACATGTTACATTAGGATTTTTGATATCTGTTTTCACAGATAATGTTAGCTCACTAGACAAATTCAGCTAACCAAAACCAGGCAGTCATTGGCCATTCTTAGTTTAAATCAGTAGCCATTAGAAAAGGCCTGGTAGACTATATATAGTTTTGAAGAAGAGAGATCTTCAAAACTGTGCTTTGCTGTTAAGGCTTTTATTACTGCAGTTTCAAGATGGCTTTTGTGAAGTAGACACTGGTTTATTCAGAAGGTTGTGGGTCTGAGTGTCCTCTTGCTTGCAAAGTTATTGAATACATTTGTGCAAATAAAATAGTGGCAAATAGATGATGTACACAAAGTCCAGAATAATCTGGGTTTTGTTTCTTCCACCTGTCATTTTTATATCTCTAAATGTGTGTATAATTGGACTTCCTTTCCCAGTAGAAACAGTGCAGTGGTTTAGTTATTGATGGCAAACACTGATAAATAATACCTTCCTTCAGAGGTTATGAAAGTGTTATTTTAATATTATTTTAATGATTTATATAAAAGGTCTAGATGGTATGGTATCTACATACAGCATTTTACAGCATAAGATAAACTAGAAAGGGTAGCAATGATTTGTAATGATATAAAGCATTTGGGGCTATAGAATCAGCTAGGAGAAAAAAATCATGGGCTAGCGTCTGTCATCCTAGATCAACTGGAGTAAAGCAGCCTAGAAACAGAAATCTCTAGCATTTTCTGATCCTGGGTAGGAAGCATTTGATTATTTCAAAATATCACTTTTTCCATTAAAGCATCATCAAAGACTATATTTTAGATGCTGTTTTTCTAAAGCATGAGAGCATGTTTCAAGACCAAGCACCCTTCCTAGCTGGATTAATAAGTAAAAATGTTGGGAAAAGGAGACTTAACAAAACAGTTACATCAAACATAACTATATCATGACAGCTTGCTTTTCTCTGGGGTTCACCCAGTCTTCTGGGCCCAATCTCACTTTAACAAAATGTCTCATAGAATCTCAGAATATTTGAGGTTGCAGAGAAGTACTCTTCCCTCTTCCCACACACTTTACTCCATTTCGGAAGCATCTGGGTAGCTGTGTCTTTGCTTGGAAATTCCACGGGACGTGTGGCTGCAATAGTCCCAGACCAAGGATAAGAAATGGAATCTGGGAGACAAAAGAACAGACAGTATTTAATCTCTAAAGAAAAATTTGGGGAAAACAGCTAATAAGCTCATTGAAATGGGAGCCTTAATGATGCTGTGTAGGTGATCCAAACTGCTGGCAAACTTACTGTTTGATGTTTAGAGAAATGTAAAATCTCCACTCTAGCTAATCAGTATTCTTGATTGCATGGCAGAATTGCAGTTTAGTGACCAATTAAGTTGTAGTATATTAACTGCACATCCCCTTTCTGTGGGTAGTTTTTGGAGAACCAGCATATTTCAAAATCTACCTCATAGTCTATGCTATCACTAGTATCAGAAGAATGTTAGCTGCAGACCTTTGAAATCTGATCGTATAATGCCAGTCAAACAGATTTCGATATTTTGTCTATTCTTATGTCAACTTGGACAACATGTTAATTATACAGGCACTAGCTGAGGGAAAGAACATTGCATAATTCTTGGGCAAACTGACAGCTGGGTGTCTGATGTGCTGTCATTCACTTTGTCTTGTGGCTATGACTTGAGGAACATCATGCTTTTTCATGCAATAACATCAAATTTAAAGTTTTGCATTCTTAGAGCTTAATTTAGTGCTTGATGTTTTTACCATGGTGGAAAAAATGGTCAGCCTTCTCCATCTGACTGTTGCTGACCTCAGGATTCCCAGACAATTTGCTTTACAGTATGTACATACGTAGAGCTCGTGGCCTGGACTGCAGGGAAGCAAAGAAGTGATGCAGAAGTACATAGTACTTTGGTCTTATTGAAACCTCCTTAAACCCTTGTCTTTTACTGTGTTGTGTTTTTTCCCCCTCTTTTTATCATGTCCTTCAGTAAGACCTGTGGAGGTTTGTGAGCAGTGTCGAATGCCCTCAGCTCTGCTGTAGGCAGTGGCAGTTGTTTCTGAAACTCAGCCTGAACGTGGGTAGACAACTGTGACTTGCATGTGAAGATTTGTGTCCTTGCAACTGTGTAAAGAAAAGGACAC